TTTCCTTGGCAAACGGGTCCTGACGCGCGTGCAACGGATGCTGAAGCCATTGCAATCGATGGCATCACCTACTCCATGCGCTGCCGTTGACGCCAGGTCGTTGGTCGCGCGAAGGGTCGCGGTCGGGGCGCGCGGCTCCGGGGCCCGCGCGGGGGCGCCGCGGCTGCTGTTCCATCGCTGGGGGAGATGCTGTCCAGGAGCCGCGCTGCGCGGTGTGCCGCGGACTCGATATCGGGCGGGGTAGTCGCCGGGGTGGCAAGAATATCTATGAGAGGTCAGCAGCGCCGCAAACGGGGCTGGGGCGTGGCAGTTCCAGGCAGGACGCGCGCAGGGAGGAGCCATTCTAAGACCGCTGGGCAGGGGTGCGCGGGTTGGCCGTTCGACGGCGCCGAGGACTCATAACAAGCATGCGCGCCTAAAGACATAGGGGTTCGAGCCTCCGAGCGATTGCGCAATGAAAGAAGAACGCGTGCACTTTCTTGGGGAAACTGGTGAGATGGAGGCCGTAGCTGACGTTTGGAAAGATGAAGGTGAGAGTGGCCTGCGAGAGCCATGGGCGGGGCGGATTGAGTTCTGCGCGCGCTCTCGCGGCGACGGCCGCGAGCGCCCAGCCTGCGATCATCCGCCGTCGTCAGCGTCGGCCAAGGGGAACGCGGGAAATCCAGGGGGCGACGAGGGCCGGAGAAGGTTGAGATGAAGGGCGGGGGGATATATATTCAACAAGAGGGCGCAGCAGCTCGAGGAGGCAAGGAACCAGATGGCGAAACCATGGAAGTGGAAGAAAGTTGGCCCGAGCATGCAAGGGAGGGACATTACCATATGAACGCCGATGAGGTACGTGCCAGGTAAAGTGGGGCGGCAATTGTATCCGACGTAGCGGGGCGGCTACTCGACGCGAGTTCATCGAACAGATCAGCGGGGTCAGGGGGGCCGTGGGTTATGCGGCAAAGGCCAGCGCGATGCGCAATCGCGCGTTTCCATGGCTGGTCCGCAGGTGCGGGTTTCCAGCGTGGCAGAGAAAATGGGGCTCATGCCCGGGCCAGCCATGGACTCCACCGCGAGCGATGAACGCGCACGCCCTGGGGATTTATTTCAACTGCGAGGTGCTGCGTGCCAAGGCCGAAGGTATTTGCAAGGGCGAAGCAGCCGTGCTGTTGAGTGCAGGGCCAGTTCGCGCGGCTTCCAGTGGGTTCACGCTGTCAGCTCGAAGAGGCTCGGGCCAGAAAAGACCGCGACCGGCGTTCCCTGTTCGCGGAAGGGGGGCGAGAACAAAAGCAATGCTTACTTCGAGCGGAAAAAAGAACGACCCGTGAAAAGAAACGGCAGGTTGCATATCTGGGCCAGTGATTTTGGTCAGTTGGCTGGTTGATTTTTTGCTTGCTACGGCGGGCTGAGGCGTCGGTCGACGTTTGCGCGCCGCCCCCAGACGAGCGGGCGCGCGCGGTCGGCGCCAGTCGTTTCTCTGACCGCCCTTGCAAATTAATGTTGCTGTTTCGGGTTCCCGCGTCAGCGGGCGCGCCCTTCCAATTTCTGCGCCCGGGGAGACGCCGGGGCGCTCGCCTGGAGGGGCGCCCGCGGGAGGGCATTCAGGTCGAGTTGCGGCGGTGGGCCGTCGGGGCTCGCTTTCCATGGATTTTGATTTCTTTTCACGCCGCCATTGGCGCTCCTTTGTGCGTCGCCATTCGCGTTGCTTTTTGCGTCGCCTTCCGTTCGGCATTTCCTCGCGCGGCCGATGCTGCAATGACTTCCGCCCCCTTGGGAAGAGAGGCCACTGTAATATTCTGGCGCGCGCCAACTTCAGAGACGAACCAGGTGAACTTTGAACGCCCTTGTTCCGCGCGCGCGTGGCGCCGCGACTACGACGGCCGATTGGCCTTGATTGGCGGGCATTCCTGCGAGGTGGTCGCGCGGGCGGGCGCCGGTGCCACCGCGCGCTGTCGCGCCGTGCGTCGCGCGCGCTTGCGAGTTTTATTTTCCGATTAAAAACTGTGTTGGGCGTTGTGTTGGTGAGTGCGCGTGCAGGCAGTGAGATTGTGAATGGGGGCGGGGGAGTTCCAGGCTACGGGGTAAAACAATTGCATCTTAACTGTGTGAGACGTACAGTTACAATGGGTTCTGCTTTCTCTTTGAACATCTCGCAGGATCCCCTAGCTGGGCCGCGATGCCATTGCAAGATGCGTCGCGGCGCGAGAGATTGCAGCCGCGCGACGAGGGTCGGCGCAGATCGAACCTGCAGCGAGCGGCAAATGGAGAGGGGGCGTTTATTCAGAAGCCCGCCTGGTTCATGACTGGCAGCCCCCATTTGGGGGGGGCCCTCGGCGTGGGGCGCCGGGGCCAGCGTCGACGCATCGGCTCGCATTTTTTCGGGGGGGGGGGGGGGGCGGGGGCGAACGCAGAGATCGGAGGTGCGCCGAAACTAACTGTGCCGAGCTATGCTACAAGGGATGGTTTGCCAGATGACAACTGACGACCGATTGGGTCGCTCTTTCCGGTCGCGCGACCCAGGAATCAGTCGCGGCGAGCCGGGCGAGGGCGCGGACATCGACGAGGTTGGTCGCGGGCAGAGTGGTAGTGGATATGGGCCTACGCTAACCTGGCCCAGGCAAGCTTGCGGCGCTTCCGGATGAACGCCCCCTGGAAGTCCAGGGCCATTCAGGATTCCATGCCTAATTGTCGAAGACAGGGGGTTAGCGAGATCAAGGGGGGGGGTCGGGGATGGGGCCCAGAGTATCGGCTCGCAATGTCGCCGCCCGCGCGGCCTGCCAAGTTGCGCTGACATCCAGCCTCGCCAGTGGGCTCGTGGAGAATGCCGACGCCGGGGGTGTCTGAGAGTCCGGGGGGGCGAGCGAGCCACGTGAAAGAGCTGCAGACGTGCGTGCAGTTACCGCGGGCCCATGCGTAGTTCATCGCGAAGACGACAAAGCGCCGGCCCGGGGCGGCGCGCCGGGGAAAGAGCAGGCTCGGCTCGAGGAGGATATTGAGCATGTTAAGGACTATGAGGTCTACGAGATAGGCGACGAGGCCAGCCCCGGGTGCCGATCCCGTCATTCCGCTTTTCAAGTTCAGTACATCTCCGAAGCAAGCGCGAATTCGTGGCGACTCCTCCACTGAAACCTCGGCATCTGCGTGTCTCCATGGCCGTCACCAAGGGGATGGGGCACGCCCGAGGTGGCCGCGAGAAAATATTCAAATTTAGGTTCATTGGCGCTCAGCGCGCAAATTTCTACGCCAAGGCAACATTTTCGCGCGGTTGCTCGAGGGGGGATCGCGATCCCTGGCGTGCTTGGAATATTGTTGAAGTCAATTCGCGGCGCCAGGGGCGCCGCCAGCAAAAGCCGGGCCTTTCGCGTGGACTTTGCGCGTCGCGTCGGATTTGACCGCGTAGACTCATCGCCGTGTGTGTTTGAGCAAAAAAATGGCGAGCCTGACGAACGGTTCATGGGGATGAGTTTCGTTCAGTGGGATTATTGTGGTAATGAGGGTGATCTCGGTTGGTTTGAAGGAGACATCAAGGAGCAACCCGCAGTTATAATACAGGGCCGGCCCGACCCGGGCCGAGAGTTTTGAATTCAGCCAGGGCTGCCAGTCGGAGTGTGAAATGGAATAGAGATGAGTTGTGGCACGATGCAGATGCAAGACGCGCTCAAATATTCGCCCAGGAGTTAGGCCTGGAACGGTACAAACTTAGATGCGACGCGCCAGGGGAACAACTACCATGCGACGAAGAAGAAGAAGGGGGGCCACTGCGAAACCACGAAATTAAAACGCGCCAGGCTCTCGCGGCCAGGGCAAATTACCCAGCGCAAGACCGATCAGACATGTCGGCGCCAACTCGGGGGGGCATGGGAAGGTCTTCGTCAAGTTAGGCAGGTGCCTCGCGGGCCGCGTCCGGCGAGGGCACCGGTGCTAGTATCGAGAAAGTTCGCGAATGGACAGGCGCCGATTTTGCAGGATACAAACCGGCACCAAAAAGGGCAAGTGGAGGAACAGTTATGCGGGGATCACATGCGATGGCGTCGTGGGTATCGACCCAGAGCGCAGTGGCAGCATGGTGGAGAAGCGGAGCATTGCTGAATGCCCAGACGTGCCTCAGTTGCATGAGGACAGAAAGCGTTTCTCAAGGACCTCGGTATTCAGTGTGGTATCTAGTGTAATCGTGATGCCAGTGCAGCTATTGCCATTGCGAGCAGGCGCGGGTCGGGAAAAGTCAGGAAAATATACGACTTGGAGATTCCATAGTTACCGAATTAGGAACTCATGATAACATTGCAGATGCGAGACGGCATGCCAGTGCACATGAGAGGAACGCGTCAATAGACATCTTGTTAATGGGAGGCAGGCGCCAGGACCAGCTACAGAGTGCGAGCTCAATCTAACCTGCGCCCGGGTCATTTTCGCAAGCCGCATTGCGGGTGACGTGAACTGAAATGCAGGTGCTGATCTATGAGATGTCAAACCTCTACCGCACACGATGCTATTAATGATGCATGATTTGGTGCTTTGCGACACGGGCACAGTGCATCGCGTGCTAGGAGCCTACTGCACGATTGCGTCCAAAGCATAGTCGCACTCTGCTCGCAACAGCTCTGATTTTAGCAGCGTCAAGGAAATTCACCTTACTCACGCTTTTCATTGTATATGTTTATAGACTCGCATTCTGCCGTGCGTATTTTAGTATCGTTGCCACGTTTGTACCCCCTGCGTCTTCCACGCCCGCGCGGCCGGGTATGTAAAATCTGCATTCCCCCATGTTTGAGGGAGTTACCGTTGCAGTCGGTATAGCAGTGCAGTTGAGGGACGCCCGCCGGATTTGATAATCCGCTTGGGGGGGTGCGTTGGCCTCGCGACCGCCCGGCTCAAGTCCAATGTGGCTCCATGGAAAACGGCGCCTATCAGATTCCCACGGGGACAAAAGAAGAACACGACAACGACGAAGATGGCGACGAGGACGAGGGCGGGAGGAGGTAATATGGGGACGGAGGGCGGTAACATCCCTCGAG